TTGACCCCACAGGATAGGCTTCAATGGCTACAAGCGAAGCAGCAGTGTGACCACTGGGTCCTACAATATGACCAACAAATAAGATCTGTGAAAGAAGTGGAGCTGTTTAAATTTGGGAGCAAGTCGGGCAGGCTGATGGCGAATTTGGTAAGGGGCCCAAACCCCATATCCCATATACTACGTCTCGCTGATGCAGAGGGCAAGGTTCATACTGACCCCGAAAAGATCTCGGAGATTTTCAGCGCCTACTACCAGAACCCATACCGAGCTGACCAGGGTAATTCCTCGGGTGCGGAGTCTTTCCTGGGATCAGTGCCCTTGCCATCCCTCTCAGATGAAGACCTGATGATGCTTAATTCTGACATCACTTTGCCTGAACTTCAAGCCATATTGAAACAAGCCCCCCTGTCCAAGGCGCCGGGGCCTTACGGCTTGTCTGAGTTCTTCAAAATACTCTTGGAGGAGGTCTCTCCACACCTTCTCACATTGTTTAATCATATATTGCATTTTAACCAATATCCCACGACTTTTCATGATGCATACATACGTTTGCTCCCTAAAAAAGATAAAAATCCTCTACTGCCAGGATCCTACCGTCCGATTTCTTTGTTAAACCAAGATGCAAAGTTTTTATCTAAGATTATGGCTAACAGGTTGTCTTGCATATTGCCTGAACTTATTTCTCCCAACCAGGCAGGGTTTGTGTCAGGCCGCTCGGCCACATTGAATATCCGCAAGACACTGTTGGCTCTGGAGCACATACGCATGCATGGTCATGGGTCTTCTCCGTCTCCAGCAGCACTGCTGGCGTTGGATGCGGAGAAGGCCTTTGATAGCGTGAACTGGCAGTGGCTCTTTATGGTTCTACGTCGTGTGGGGATTTCGGGGCAGTTTCTACAATTTATCACCACCATCTACTCGTCACCAAGAGCACAAATTTACACATCTACACATCTCTCATCTCCTTTCTCCCTACATAAAGGTACTCGACAGGGTTATCCTCTATCCCCCCTGTTGTTTAATCTAGCCATTGAACCACTATCCCTATCCTTCTCTTCCCCCCCAATTGTACACCGGCCTGCGTGTTGGAGCCACGGACATCAAATCTATGCTATTTGCTGACGACATTTTACTTATACTGTCAGAACCCAAACAGCTTCCGAGACTGATTCAACATATCCAACACTATGGCACCTTTTCCGGCCTTAGGATTAACTTTGACAAGAGTGAACTAATGTTCTTCTCGAAAGCAGCTGCTGATGAGGCGTTGTCCTGGGCTCCTGCACATAAACTACAAATCAGAAACCACTCTCTGACATAATTGGGAGTCCGTATACCACGCACAGTTACAGACCTATACAATATCAATTACTCCCCCATTTTCAAAACAATTACGGCTGAATTGGCATCCTGGCAAAATCTCCCGCTATCGATGTTAGGCAGGTGTCATTTAATACGGATGATTAGCTTTGCCCGACTCCTTTACCCGCTGCAAACCCTACCCCTTCTCCTTAAACATAGCGACATCCGCATGCTTAACACGGCATTCTCGAAATTCATCTGGAGAGGTAAGAAGCCACGAATCGCCCTTAGGAAACTTCAACTACCCAGATCTGAAATAGGGGCCAACTTACCTAACATACGATACTACAATTTAGCCAGCAACTTCCGATATGTGAGGGACTGGATACACGGGTCCTCGTTATATACCAATAATGACATGGAAGCCCAGCTAGTGTCCCCTTGGTCTCTAGCGGGTTTACTTCACACTCCACTACAATCACTCCCCTCACACTTAAAGCAGAACACCCTACTTAAAGACACCATCATCACTTGGCGGGAGGTGAGAAAAATTGTGGGACTAAAGGGAGTAATATCACCCTGGATGCCTATTACCTCCTCTCCGGTGTTCCCTCAGGGCAGGGATTCTAATATATTCCACATCTGGAAACGTAAAGGCATACACTCTATACATGACCTGCTCTCCCCTCAAGGCTCTTGTATGTCCCAGATCGAACTTTCCAGAATCCACAGTATACCACTTCACCACTTCCTACAATACAAACAAATCTCCAGCTTTATAGCCACTCATCTTCCTCCTCCCTCTCCCAATATGTCCGCACGGACATTTAATCAGTTAATGACTTCCCCTTCATCTAGGATGTCCCTGTCCAATATTCAATTGATCATACGTGATCAGGCCGGCAGTCCACAACTCCTCCATTCCCGAACTTTGTCCGTCCGTGGGCCTCTTTATTGGGACTAAACTTGGAGCATACATATGATAATCTCCTACAGGGATGGAGAAATGTGTGCAAGACGGTGGTATGTGAAACGTGGAGGGAACTCCAATTTAAAATTATCCATAGAGCTTATTATGCTTTTAATTTTGCTCCCTCGTCATTGTCTGCTGATTGGCTAACCAAATGCCCTAAATGTTCTCTCAATCGTCCTGACCTCATTTACTCTGGGAGTGCCCCTCTATTCAAACGCTATGGTCTCAGCTGTTGACCTACATGAATTCCATCTCTCACAGAAGCAGGGGTCCACAACCCTCTTAGCAATACACTCACTGGTATCTCATGGCCAAATTAGATGGTTCTCTAGGGCCTCTAGATGTTTTATGAAATGTATCATTTTTTACGCAGGTAAAGCTATACTTCCCCAACACATCTTTAATTGTGACTGATCGCTTTCGAGGTATGAGTCCACAAATTAGGAATACGTCTATCCTTTTGACAAAAAAAAAAACAAGCCTGTATTGTTGATTTAGAGTCCTCAGGAACTTGGAGAGCTTTCTTGTTTTGTAGATAGGTTCCAAAAAGATTGAAGTCTGTTGAACAATTCAATTCATTGAGCAGTGCTGTGAATCATCTTTAACCAGGAGTTAATGCCTGACATGCAGGTGGATGTCTAGCCCAGTGTCCTCTACCATAACGCATTTCGCCCCGCCTTCTTTCCCAGGGCTTTGTCAGATACTGGTAGGGGGCGGTTACACAGAGTTTATTTTTGCTCAACTCATGTGTTTCTCGTTTGCTTAACCCCTAAGGTGCTAAGATGGAATGGGTGTTGATACAATCATAATTAATTAAAATCTATTGTAATCCAAAGTGATAAATAGCATAGGCACAATGCTAGTGAATGATTGGCTAAATAGTTATGGATTTGAGGTGACAAGACAGAGTTTAGCCTCATATGGAACAAACAAATAAATAAAACCACACAGAATCATCTAGACAATACCTAAGATTCACAAGAATAGTACAAAACCCCCAGGTAGACCAATTGTGTCGGCTGTGGGGGGCCCCCTAGAAAACATCGGCAAATATCTGGATGCTCTTCTAAAAGACATAATGTTAAAACTGCCATCCTATCTATGGGATACAGGGGACACTATACAAAGTTTAACTATAGATGAGGGCTCACTACTTGTTGGTTTGGACGTAGAATCTCTCTATACCTCTATCCCACATGAGTGGGGATTAACAGCAGTGAAATACTACTTGGAGATTCTCTTCCCCAACACAGCTGCCCAGAACGAATTTATACTCAATGTTCGGGATTTTGCACTGAGCAACTTCTTTCAATTTGCAGGCTGCCATTATAAACAAATTAGAGGTACTTCTATGGGGGCCCCTTGGGCTCAAGCCTATGCATGTATTCATCTAGGAATGTGGGAACAGGAAACTGTCTATCCACACCACATGTTTAAACTTTTTGTCATCATGGCATAGATTTATTAAAGACATCTTGCTGGTTTGGATAGGTTCAGAAGTCCAATTAATAGAATTTATATCAGACCTAAATAAAAATGATAGGAATATTCACCTTACCTATACTATAAGCACCCATGAAATTTCGTTTCTATTATCTAACGATTTGAACAGACGATAAACTAGTAACCAATACCTTTAGGAAACCCACAGCAGCCAATACAGTATTTCATGAGTGTAGTCACCACCTGCGATCCCTGAAACAGGGCATACCTACTGGCCAGTTTCTCCGCCTTAAGAGAAACTGCACATCCCCTGAGGACTTGAGGAAAGAGTCAAAAGTCATGTATGAACGTTTCAGGGAACGGGCCTACTCTCATCGAGTTCTCAAAAAAAGTCTATCTATAGCCAACAAACGTACAAGAGAGGAACTCCTTCACAGTACAAAAACAAAAAAAGATAGAACTGACCATAGGGTTCATATGATTACCCAATACGGAACAGGCTGGCATACTCTTAAACACACATTAAAGAAACATTGGCATATTCTACAGCTATGCCCCACTATTAGGAATATAGTAGGCCCCTACCCTCTAGTGACAGCACGACGAGCACGGAACCTAAGAGACCAATTGGTCTCCTCTGAATTTATTCCCATTACTCCGGAGACCTGACTATCCAGGACCGGGAAACCCAAGGGCATGTACGCCTGCGGCAAGTGTCAGATATGCCCTCTAGTACATAAATCGAAGCAATTCTTCAATTCAGTGGGGACCACTAGTTTTGATATCCTTAATTTCATAAATTGCAATACCACACGTGTAATTTATCAAATTGAATGTCCATGTAAAAAACTGTACATTGGAAAAACCAAACGGGAGTTAAAAGTAAGAATTGTGAACACCTGAAGGATATGAAAAACAATGACAAGGACAGTCCACTTGCACAACATTTTACAAAATTTCATGGTGGGCTAACCTCAGGTATAAAAATTAAGGGGATATATGCTCTTAAATTACCAGCTCGGAGAGGGGACTTCAATAAGGTATTCCTCTAGAAGGAAAAAATTTGGATTTTCAAGCTTAACACAATGATCCCCTACGGACTCAATAGGGGAAGTTAATATGCTTAATTTAACCCTTCACAGGGGTTAATTAAATTTGGGTCTGGTACTCTGGGTATAAATCTTCTTCTGTTTTTCAGGACTTTGACTAGGCCACTCCAAAGTCTTCATTTTGTTTTTCTTCAGCCATTCAGAGGTGGACTATTTATTTTTTACCTAATTAGGAACTGAGGAAATGGCTTGTTATCGCTGGCAGTCTTGGTACTGCAGTATGCTTTTTCATGTTAGGGCCTGCCCCTATATTTCACATTGAAAGGTATGTATCAGTTTTACCCTTTCGCTGCTCACAATGTACTGTATATAATTCATTTCATCAACTGGCTTTTCTAAATACTGAGGAATTGATTTGAACTGATGTAAAGCCCCTGATCACTTGTGCCAAGGGTCCTCAAACTTTTTAAACGGGGGGCCAGTTCACTGTCCCTCAGACATTGTTGGGGGTCGGATCAGGAAGCCAGGAGGCGGGTCACGACATGCTGCCCAGCTTCCTGATTGGCTAGGCAGCAAGCTTCAGTTGGTAGGCAGCCTGGCTTCCTAACCAATCAGGAAGCCGGGCAGTACGTCATGACTCGTGTCACGGCTTCATGATTGGTTAGGAAGCCAGGCTGCCTACCAACTGAAGCTTGCTGCCTAGCCAATCAGGAAGCTGGGCAGCATGTCGTGACCCGCCTCCTGGCTTCCTGATTGGCTAGGCAGCAAGCTTCAGTTGGTAGGCAGCCTGGCTTCCTAACCAATCATGAAGCCGTGACACGAGTCATGACGTACTGCCCGGCTTCCTGATTGGTCAGGAAGCCAGGCTGAATAGATAAAATTGAAGCCAGCTTCCTAGCCAATCAGTAAGCCAGGAGACACGACCTGACCCGCCTCCCGGCTTCCTGATTTCCTATGAAGCTGGTTTCACTTGTTCCTAGGCAGCTTGGCTTCCTGACCAATCAGGAAGCCGGGCGGTACATCATGACTCGCGTCACAGCTTCCTGATTGGTTAGGAAGCCTGGCTGCCTACCAACAAGTGAAGCTTGCTTCCTAGCCAATCAGGAAGCGGGTCACGATGTGCCGCCCGGCTTCCTGATTGGTCAGGAAGCCAAGCTGCCTAGGAACAAGTGAAACCAGCTTCATAGGCAATCAGGAAGCCAGGAGGCGGGTCAGGCCGTGTCTCCTGGCTTCCTGATTGGCTAGGAAGCCGGCTTCGCTTTTTTTAGGCAGCCTGGCTTCCTTACCAATCAGGAAGCCGGGCGGTACATCATGACTCGCGTCACAGCTTCCTGATTGGTTAGGAAACGGACTTGTGCAATATTGTGCAATACGTTGGTGCCATTGACCAACCACATCAGCATTGATTAAGACCCAAAGTGTACGGATATCTCCAGGGTGTCTGTCTCCACCAGTATTTATTACTGCACAGCAGAAAATAAAACGTTGGGAGAATAATTTAGGAAAACCACTACAAATGTAAAATTCCATACATGTACATGAATGAACAAACACACACTCGCAGCACAAAGTTGGTATCCACTGTATCTGTTTCAGAATAATTTCTTTCTTGCCCGTTCTATGGATTTTGTATTAGCAGTAGTTAATTCACTGACAAATATAAACAAGCTCCTGAAATCTGTTAAAAATATCTAATTTAAATGCAACTCTCTGTAAAGTTTACTTATATTGGAGTGCCTTATATTGGATGTATACTGTATATTATACTCTACCAATTGTAATCCACCAGCCCCCAAATATGTATTTGCATGCAGGTGCTAGTACTATCCACAGTTTGCACAATGATGATGGTGATGATATACCCTATTTAAACATTTGCAAGATAATGCACAGTCAACATACAGATTTATTTTCCTTATTTTGCACTGTTGCACCATTAACTAATTAAATTAAAATGCATTCAAGTGGAATTGTTACTATTACTTTTACACAACATACCTAACGCTCTGCAGTAGCAAATCATTCTTTATTTTGTTCATTCTGTAAAATTATATTAGCCTTGTCAGGTTGGACAAGGACCATTGTTAAATTACAGTTTAAAGTCTTCGCACTAGAGCTGCAACAGTTAATCGATTTAGTCGATTAAAATCGACGATAGCACAGATTCTCAATTGGATTGGAGTCAAGGCGTTGACCTGGCCATTATAGGGTATGAGCACTATCTGCTTTAAACTACTCCAGTGTATCTGTGGCTGTGTGTTTAGGGTTACTGTTCTGCCGAAAGGTAAAACTGGCATGTCTCGCATCTTTCACAAACTTTAAACAATTGATCAATCAATCAATTTTTCTCTAGAATTGCCTTGTATTTGGCAATATTCATGTTGTACTCAATCCTTATTGTGTACAACTGAGGCCTGAGAATCTACACTGATTTGCTGCTGCAGAGCGTTAGATATGTTGTGTAAAAGTAATAGTAACAATTCCACTTAAATGCATTTTAATTTAATCAGTTAATGGTGCAACAGTGCAAAATAAGGAAAATAAATAAAGGCCTGAGAATCTACACTGTATCCAAATTACACTTCTGATTTATATTTTTCATACAGGGTACATGAAGAATATCATGCTTTCGCTGTGATTGTATCTTATGTGGATTATAGAAGAAAACAATTTTATTTGTCTTTTTATGCTTTCTATGCACACTGCAATTTTGTGGCAGGAGAAGCCAATTTCAGCCAACTGTTTTGCAAGATTTGATCAAGCAGCCTACCAGTCAGAATGTTTCTATCAAAACTGAAATGATCAAAGCTGTTGATGGACTGCTGTTAAATGGTTAAATTGCCACAACATTTCTGTGTATGGTCAGCAAGACAGTCTTTAGTCCACTTTACTGCTAAAATCAAGAGGCCTCTAATGACTAGACATGTGCGAATCGTTTCGTTCCGTAACGAAATTCTGACATTTTCGTAAATTTGTAGATTCGGATGTATTCGAATTTCCGAAATTACAGAAATGACAAATGCAAGCAAATCCGAATTTCTGATTCCGAAATTCGTGAGCAGAAGTGTGTACGAAATTTCCTTGCAGCAAAGTGACATTAGAGGGAAATGTATTTTTGTTTTTTTACAGCCTGCATAAGAGGAGTTCCCCCAGAGCCGTAGCTAGCTCCTTTTGCGCCCGAGGCAAGAACAGAAAATTGTGCCCCCCAACAGACGTATCATGTCACCCTATGCCACGCACGGCGTCATGTGACGTCATACGCCCAGCCTCCAGGATGGCGGCACCCAATAGCATACAAATTTGTTTCATTTGACGAAACTAATGAAAATGTTTGTTTACGTTAATTTAGTCTTTGCACATGTCTAATAGTGTGTGTGTGGTGGGGGGGAGGGGAGGGGGCGGGTTCTGGGGTCTTCGAGGAAATGTCGGGGGTCTAAACAGATCTCTGACATTTCCCTTTTGAAATTCAAAAAGAGATTGAGGACACAGAGTCCTCTGCCCATGCAGCGGGGAATGCGTGGAGAAGCTGTGTTGGAGTCTGGCGCCCCTGTTGCCAATGGCGCCCTGTGCTCGCCATGACAACAGGGGCGAGGGGGCGCAGCCAGACTGGCCCTGGATACGCCCCCTCTTAGCTGCGCCTGAGGTGAGTGCCTCACTCGCCCCATGGTAGCTACAGCCCTGGGTTCCCCCCCCACCATCCCACCCAGCACCCCTTAATTGAGGGGGCACCCAAATACCGCCCCCCCTTGCGAATAAGTAAGGGGTACTTGTACCCCTACTCATTCACTAAAGGGTTAAAATTCAAAGTAAGTAAACAAACCACACTTTTAGAAAAAATCCTTTAATTGAAAAAAGAACAAAGAGTACATTTTTGACTATTCCTTTAAAAGAGAACTATGGGGTAAGTGTTTTTCCCCATAGTTCTCTTAAGGGTCACGGGAGTACATATACTAGCATCCTCCCATGACCCAAAGCTTAGTATATCCCAAGCTACATCTCACAGTATACTGAGACCACCGCAGCCGGGACGGATCCCGACATTACTGCCTATCTAGAGGCAGAGCCAGCTGTACCCGCCCACTCCCCTGCTTGTTCCTCAAGTCAGCGCTGGAAGATCAGGGAGGGGGGGGGGATCCCTGCAGGGGAGTCACGGCTCTCTGCAGGGAGATGATCGAGAAGTGAGCGAGCAACGGTATGTGTTTGCTCACTTCCAGATCTATTGAGATGACGTGTGACAGGTTTCATTGTCACAGGTCGGCTTAAACTATGAGGATGAGTGATTTTCACTCGCCTCATAGTTCTCCTTTTTAATGATTTTTTTTTTAAATGGCTCCATCGATCTAATCCAGCGTCAATCACGATGCACGACGCCTGCCGACCCGCCGATATTAAAAAAAGTCCAACCGCACAAAGACCGTCCAAACCCGACAAAAACGCAGCAAAATGACATCTCATGTCAAACACCGCATAGCATTCGTGAGCTCCCGAATGCTATTTGTGAGCTCCCGAATGCCATTCAGGTCTGTGATCCGAGGTGTCATAATACTATTCATATGACACCTCGGCTCACAGATCCGAATGGCATTAGGAGCTCACGAATAGCTAAACCCCCCACACTTTTTTTTTTTTTTAACTTGGGGGGGACTCTCCTAACATTCCTACCAGACTTAAAGGTTCTGGTATGAATTGGGGGGAACCTCACACTTTTTTTTTTTTTCTTCTTCTCTTCTGCAGAATGTGAATAAAAAATCCCTCTAATGTCCCTTTGCTGCAACTAAATTTCGTCCACAAACTAAACTTCACACAGACTACCGCTAACGAATTTCATCCGAATCTGAATCTACTAATGACAATTTTATAAAATTCATATTTAAAACTGGCAGTTTGTAGATCGAAGAGTTCATGATATGCAAAAAATCATTTATTTACTTAAGGTTTGGCTTTTTTTTTCCAGTAAACTATGGCTGTTTATTTTCGTACTTGTATTGAATGGATTTTGTATTGGCCTGACTGCCATACCAGTCTATCCAGAGATGCTCAGCTGTGTATAGTAAGTATGTACTCATAACTGAATGTCCTTTTTAATGCTTTAGGTTCTTTCTAGATTACTTTGTCTGAGAATGCAGCCAGTGAAGTCCCAAGGGAAGTCAGAACTTAAGATTAGTTACTCAGAAAGTATTAAAGCCAGTGGCCTAACAATCACCATAGCGACCCAGGCGGCCGCTATGGGGCTCCGGGACACAAGGGGGCCCGACCAGGACATCCCCCTGATGCCGTGCGGGCCTCCTGGGTCGCTATGGCATTTCAGGCTGCTAGCTGTCACTGGCGGCTGTGAGGAGAAACGCACCGCTTTTCACATGTGCAGCTGCGCGTTCCTCCTCACAGCCGCTGCTGAGTCGGCGACAAACCAGCAGCCTCAGAGGAGGTGGCTGGGCCCCTCATCGTTAGCAATGGGGGAGGCAGGCCCGGAGATCGAGAAGGTGGGGCCCGCAAGCGATCGTGGAGGAGAAGGAGGCGGACAGAGGATCGGGGCAGACAGGTAAGTGGACTTGACCGCCCACCTGAGACCCTGCAGAGTTCATCATTGAGAGTCTATGGTGGGCTCTGCAGGGTCACCCTCAGGTGGGCTGTTTGGGTTAAAAGGTGGACTTAACTAGAAATCACAGGGCCCCATACAAAATTTTACTATGGGGCCCTGTGATTTCTAGTTACGGCCCTGATTAAATCCATTGGATCTACATAAAACCAGGCAACTTGCATTTTCATAGATAGTGGGAAGTGACGGCCTTCGGATTCGGTACAGGCTTTCCGTTAACAAAGCTAGTTACTGGCAAATGTGGTCCTGGTTTTTGACCGGGGATACATTTTATACCGAATGGTATTTGGTCTTGGTTTTGTAACATACTGGTGTGTGTGTTTTTGGCACATAACACTACAAATATTCTTCTCGTTGTAAGAAGGCTCCCTCACATATGAACACCCAATGTTCTTTTTATATGAGAATGTTGCATTAAAAGCAGGGAATCTGGAATCACATTATATATTGCAGTACACATTTAATCTGTTCATCTGTATTTTTGGGGCACAGCTCCCAGAGTTTAGTTCCACTTTAAATAAATTTAGAGTATCAATAGGGGTTAAACTGGCCAGATTAAACAAATTAAAGTGAATCTCGCTTAAATTTACATTAGAGTACCTGACACGAATTTAGACAATGTCAAAGCCACACACCACTTTATTATTGAATCCATCAAACTTTATTGCACAGCCATCTTACAGCGATACTCCTCCCCTGATATTGTTAGGATTAATTTGAGTAGGGGATGTGATGAAGCCCGTAGCACAGCTAGCATCCATGGCTGGAGAGTAAGGATGAGCAAATCTACCTTGGTTCGGTTCACTGGGGGTCCGGCAAATCCTGCTTGAAGTCTGCAAAGTCTCAACTTAGATGCAAACCCCAATAAACTCTATGGGAAGCTGGCGAATATTCATACTAAGTTTAGGGCTACAAGGTAAGCAATTGTCAAAAAAAGGGCATGGGTAGCTGAGCACTGCCATGGAGAACATTTACAAAAGAACATGTAGACATACTTTACTGTGGGGAGGGGGCAATTTTGATGTGACTTTGGTGGCAACATAGGAAAACACCAGTCCCTTAAATTACATGCTTGGAACATGCCTTAAATCTGTATACAATGTTACAAAACAGTGTGATTTTTATGCTTCAGTGACACATTCAGGCATAACAACATATTTTGGTTCTGTAATTAATTTTTTAACTTCTACATTCTTAAATATAGCCGCTGCACCCCAATCTGATTTATTTTAACCTGCTGCAAATTGGTCAGTGACAAAACAGTTTAATAGTATAGTTTGCAAGTTTCTTGTTTCACAGTACGACACTGCAGTGTCTTTAATAAAATGTCAAAACAAAGTGCACAAAAGCACTTCAAAACCATAGTTTCACATTCCCTGAACTCCATCACATCCCCAGTTCTTACCAAAATTTAGACTTCAGGTATGTGTTTGGTAGAAATTGGCTAGTGTCAGAACAGTACATGCCTGCTACAAGGTAGGGTTTATCTTCCAATAACATTAGAGTGTATTTAATGTGAGAGAAAATAGACATGAATGTTGTACAGTGACTGGACAAGTATGTAAGCAGTTTGCTCAGGCTGTAATATAAGAGGGAGAGATGAGACAGGTTTTATCTTTAAATAGAAATTACAGTGTAGTATTTGAGAGAAGATAGTGACAAATATTGTACAGTGGCTAGACAGTGCAACTTCAGATGGCAGCTGCCATCTGGAGCTGCAAACAAAACTACACTATGCATACCTCAGTCTGGCAGTCTGAGCTCCACTTTTTCTATGCAATTTGTACTGCCACCCATGTAATTCAGTGGACATTTTCATGGGATCCCCAGTCCCATTTTTACTTATTGTATTTGTATTTTCATAAGTATTCATCATTTTGGTTGGGGTTTAGTGTTTCAGGGTTGTTGTTGTTTTTTTTTATTATATTGTCTGTTGCTAGGGCTCCCTTTCTATTTTGGGGTGTGTAGGGTACAGGCTGCATACTTGCTGTGAAATAGTGTGCTCCAAGCACCACATATTTCTCCCCCCTATGACCATAGCTGCAAATAATATAGGCAATCCCATTTCGCACAGCACAGTGCCTTGTGAAGCTCTGATTGGGTAATGCAATGCACCTGACTACAGGTCAGGTGCAAGACTTTATCCAATCGCAGCACAGTGCACTGTGAGAGCCATGATTGGGCAAAGTAATGATGTCCTGTCAGGTGTCGGACAAATGTAAACAGTTGGACGGAGCTAGCTAGCTGTCATCGTTAGCTCAGCCCAATTGTTTATATTTTGCTAGCATCGGTCAGAATGCCATTCTGCGGCGTGAGTTCGGCGTGAGCGGACGGGTTGGTGGGCATCGTTTTTTTATTTCTTTTATTATTATTTCTATTTATTTTATTTATTTATTTTGTCGAGTTGTCGTGGACTACATTGGACGTCGTGATTGACCCTAGGATTTTTTATTTAAATCTATTTCAACACTTTAGTGTATGGGTAAGGGTACAAGGTACGGTACCCCTTACTCATTTACAAAGGGGGGGCACATCTGGGTTAAAGGGGTACCCTGATGTGAATAAGCCCGCCTGCCCGTACCCCCACAAACACGGGGACAAGGTGCTTTTCAAGGAGCTACCCTGGAAAAGCACTCTCCCAGTACCAAGGGCATGTGGCCTGGTATCGCAGGGAGGGGGGGGGGGCACTCACTTGTCCCCCCCTTCCCCTCTTTCCTGTCCTGCCAGGCCTGTGCTCAGATCAAGGGTCTGGTATAGAATGGTATGTAATTTTAGGGGGGACCCCTCATCTCCCTCCCCTCATTTTTGGGGGGTGGGGTTCCTCCTTAAAATTCTTACCAGACCTTAAGGGCCTGGTATGACACCACCTATGGCCAATAACTTGCATATAAGGCTTCAAAATGGGGAAATTTGATTTTCAGAGTTCTGCTCCCGTAGACTTTCGGCCCATCACTAGTCATCATTTTTGTTGTATTAAAGTAATATCATACCACTTATGGATGTTATTTTCTTTCAGTGAGAATGGCTTTGAGGAAGGGCTTAGTACTTTGGGCCTCATCTCTGGGCTGTTCAATGCCATGTGGTCTGCGGGGTAGGTATTTTATAAATGTACCACATTATTTTTGTTGTACACCGAAATCCTATATAATGTCTTTGTATTTCAAACAATGACCGTCAATAACATAAACTGCGTCTATTTTTCTCCCAACTGCCCCAAAAGTACTGCATGTAGTATTTTTTGTAGTGTGAACAGGGGGCATAGAACTGAATGGGATTCCTGGGGTCGAGCGTTTTGTCACACTGATTGAATACGCTTAGGTGTGAATGGAGCCTGAGAGAGCTGAGCATAAACAAACACATGCAAACCTCAATGAACTGAAGCAACATTGCCAAGCAGAGTGGGCCAAAATATTTCCACAACGATGTGAGAGACTGATAAAGTCATACAGAAAACGATTACTTCAAGTTATTGCTCCTAAAGATGGTTCTACAAGCTATTGAATCATAACGTGCACTTAGTTTTTTCACACTCTGTTTTGGCTTTATGTTTCTGTTGTTCATCTGAGGTTGGATTTACCTAATTTTAAGACCTGCTAAGGACCAGATGATATTTATTATGTCCTGATGCTTAAAACCATAGAATTAAAAGAGGGTTACATTCTTTTTCACACGATTGTACCTGTTTTTAACAAGTACTGTACATGAATCTGTCGGAAGCAGCAACATTTACCATGTAGATAAGCTACAGAATTCTAAGGAGTGTCTATGAAACTCTTTATGAATTCCAGGTTATGTATCCTGTGGGGATGTAGAAGCTGGTGGATAGAACCAAAATGCACAGTGGGAGAACATCATCACATTCACACATGCCTTGATTAACCAGTTGTGGACACTGGGCAGGCTACACATGCCCAAAAAAACTTCATAGAAGTACACAGGACGTGGGCAGAATGCCCTGTCCTCCTTTCACCCTGCCACTTCCCTCCTGCAGTTCCCAGCTGTCAAAATGATAGCTGGAGGCTGTTATTTAAATACAGCAGCTGTAGCAAGAAAAACGACCACCTGACACACTGGTAATACTAAAGGTGGAGAAATACAAAGTAACATTGTAACTTTTGTAGCTGTTTTGTTCCATTCATCTGCAGATCAAAGGGATGAGCTTTGATCTGCATATGTCAATTAAAGCAACCTAAGATGCAAAATTAAATGTGTTCGTTTTTTTTTAACCCTTTATTGATCCTTAATGTACAGTAATCAGCCCTAATTAACTCCTACTTCATTTTCTCCCCTTAACTACTATTTTATGGATTTTATTTTTGTTTATTTCTACTTTTCTAACCAATATTTTTGAAACTTTTTTTTAATTTGTATTCCTCTTATTCAATAATTTTATTTGGTGTCACATACAAAAACCAAAACAAAATGAAAATAAAAAGCTTTTATTTCATTTGTATATAACATTGCAATGTCTTGTACCAGAACCCTAATATTAGGGTTTTTTTCAGAAAGTAGATGAAGGATATAGCCATAGGCTAATCGTTAAGCTCACTTTGGACGCCAGAGCCCTTCAGGTTCGCTTTACGTCGGCTCGGTTATTCACTCGACTGCCTTCAGCAGCTTGGTGAATAACCCTGTTAGTGTCATTTTGAACAGGACAAATTTATAGAATAAAATCATAACTTTGTATCTATACTAACAATATGCTTTTAAAACTAACACTGACCACATAAAAAAAGAAACAAAACTGAAAAAAATACACTTTTTTTTTAATCTATGGATTTCATAATAAATAAAAAAACATTTTTGCAAGACATATCACCAAAAGAAAGCCTTGTTTTTCCAATATTGGTAAACAATGCGATTTAACAGCCTTTGAACATGGCACTGTTTAAAGACTGGAGTGTCAGCCGACAATCTGGGTCTGAACGTACGAATTGTGGCCGTCAGCGACTAGTCAATGTTAGGGCAGAACGGAGAGTGGCAAGACTGGTACAAGACAACAGAAGGGCAACAGTGCATCAAATTACTGCAGATCTTAATCGGGGATCCTCTCAAATAATCTCTGAACGCACTGTTTGCCGTACACTGCATCGTATGGGATATGGAAGCCGAAGGCCTGTTTGAACACCTTTGCTGTCTGCAGTTAACAAGATTCGCACAGGAACACAAAGAATTTCGCAAGGATTGGACAGTCGAGCATTGGAAAAAAGTAATGTGGTCCGATGGATCACGTTTCCAGTTGCATCATGCAGATGGCAGTGTGAGAATTTGGCAGAAACTGCATGAAAGCATGCACCCCAAGCTGGTGGGGGCAGTGTTATGGTTTGGGGCATAGTGACGCATTGGGGATCCCAGCATGCATCTGGTTGCTGTGCCTTCAGTGCGTCCCTGCACCTTCTGAGGAGGAGTAGGCTACTTCCTGGTACACCTGCATTCAATTTATCAACTGCATCAATATGCTCCCACTAGGAGACTCATATAAATAGAGTTGGGACCACACTTTACAGAGGTACCTAGGCACGGCAGTGTGGCTTCTACATATTTTTGGCCAAAGTTTGTGCAACTAAAACCTCTGCTTTTAATGTATACTGTCAGACAGGGTAATTTGTTTTGTTGCAGGCCAGCTGGCAGGTGTGCTGGGGATTCTTTTTGTTTTGTATTGTTGTAAGGCTTCCCATGTGCACCCTGCTACAAAGGCTGGTTATAAATGTATGCGGTTACCATCTTTTTCTAGTTTGACTATTTTGGATGTAGTGACGCATTGGGGATCCCAGCATGCATCTGTGGTTGCTGGGCCTCCAGTGCGTCCCTGCACCTTGGGAGGAGTAGTAGGCTACCTCCTGGTACACCTGCATTCAATTTATCAAATGCATCAATATGCTCCCACTAGGAGACTCGTATAGAGTTAGGACCACACTTTACAGAGGTGCCTTGGCGCGGCAGTGTGGCTTCTACATATTTTTGGCCAAGGGTTTGTGCAACTAAAACCTCTGCTTTTAATGTATACTGTTAGACAGGGTAATCTGTTTTGTTGCAGGCCAGCTGGCAGGTGTGCTGGGGATTCTTTTTGTTTTGTATGGTTTGGGGCATGTTTTCCTGGCATGATTTGGGCCCTTTAATTCGCGTGGAAAAACATCTGATTAGCACAACATACCAAAGTATCGTTGCTGATCAAGTTCATCCTGTCATGTTGATAGCATATCCCAATGGAGATGGCTTCTTCCAACAAGACAATGTGCCATGCCACGGTGCTCGTATTGTGCAGGAGTGGTTTCAAGAACATGAGGGAGACTTTACCTTGCTTAGGTGGCCCCCACAATCACCAGATCTCAATCCAATTGAGCATTTGTGGGACGAAGTTGAAAGAGCCATCAGGCAGCTGATTCCACAACCATCAAATCTCACAGAACTGGACAGTGCTATTCATCAGGCATGGTGTCAGATTCCTCGCATCACCTTTCAACATCTCGTGGAGTCAATGCCAAGAAGAATCACCGCAGTATTGAAGGCAAAAGGTGGCCCAACAAAGTACTGATGGGGTGGTCATAATAATCTGGCCACTCGGTGTATATATTTGTCCATTAAACAGCATATATGTGTTACTTTGGTATCTTGAAGTGACACTAAACTCAGGAGTTAAATCTTGAAAATGCTCAAGTGCCCGTTTAACAAAAATGTAGCTTATTTATTGATCCCTAAGCTGTAGATCCTCAAATCATCTCTGAATTGGTGCTGACACTGTCCTTCCTTCTGGAAGGTGGCTGTGTGTATTGTAAAGTAGACACCACTCCTCGCTGGCTCTCCTGCTGGTCCACAATCTCATGTTTAGTTTACTAATCTGTATTGAGATTTTAGTCCATCACGGGAGCGAACTTGGAACGCTACTTTACAACACACACTGGGACCATGGGGAACAAAAGTAGCCACCTTCCAGAAGGAAGGACAGTGTCGGGACCAATTCAGAGATGATTTGAGGATCTACCACCCAGTGATGCCAAAATGAGCTACATCTTTTTAATTGTTAAGGTACTTTATTGTATTTTTAACATTTAACTCCTGAGTTTAGTGTCACAGTCAGTAATGACAAAGTTATTACTGTATAAATAGGCCCATAACAGAATTGTAAAAAGTCTTCCGTGGCTGTGAAACATTGCACATTATTTGGTTTGATTATTACATTTATTAAGAGCAGACTTATTCATTGGATTCAGATAAGTATAAAAAGGTCATGTGTGGCAGGTAGTTGTGTATTTTTTCCATATTTTAAAGTAACAGAGTTGCTTTAAGCATTTCAAGTGAAGGCAGCTCAAACATTTAAAGGCTGTTATATTGATAATACAGAATACTTGTCTTTCATTCTGTCTTTATTTACAGATGATGTGCAACTTAAACATGTTTGTTCTCCTAGATCATTTATTGGCCCAACCCTTGGTGGGTTTCTGAATGAAAAGTTTCATTTTAGGTGGGCAGCTGCCATGCAAGGACTTTTCCCACTAGTTTCAGTAAGTTTCAAAACTGTTACCATTTCTTTTTCTTTGTCTTTTCATTTCTGTTGACATTTGTTTTGTTTTGTTTTGACAGTTTATTTTGAGTACTGCGTTTTATTCTTGGGAAATTTATAAAAGGAAAAGAAGGTGAGATCCTTTAGCATTTCTCCAGTTTGTGTGACATCTTTCATTGTTTGTGGAGTTCTGGAGCACCATTTAAAAACCTTGTTCTGTTTGCTACTTGTGCACATGCCAGGATCATGTGCATTGCCTGTGATCATGCAGTCATTACACCGAGCAGATCACTGGCAAAATGCACAGAGGCAATTAGAGTGTTTGTGTGCTTTGTGACCACTGTAATGGCCAATCATAGCGGTCACAAATGTAGACACTGTAAATTACAGGCCTTTAGGTATTTCTGTTGTAACAGCCTGACTGTATCTCTTCTCACTGCTAAATGTCAGAAAAAATATTATTCTCTGTGACCGCACATGTAGTTTGCAGCAGTGGCATCCCACTCTAGAGACAGATTAAGATAGAATGGGGCTCTAGGCAAGGCAGCAGCTTTGGCCCCCCCATCCTTTTTAACTAATCATTAGTATTGCATTAGGCACATTAACCCCCCCGCATATACATTGTGTGTACTGGTATAGCATCAGGCAATCTGACACCACCTCTCTACAAATGCATTCTACCTTGTGAAGTGAATGGCAGGTGTACTGCTTTGACTGGTTGTGTGTGTTATGTCCTGGTTCACAGTAGGAGCATGAAGGTTATAGCTGGTCACCCTTGAGGCATCCACCAGGCCCAAGCCTCCTACCTAGGTTGCCTTGTGGGTGATGTGGTTCTGCTTGGCTCCATCAGACTGTAAAAACTGTCTAGCTGTTGGTGTGCCTGGGCAAGATCTAAACAAGTCTGAAGATGAGGTCTGCCTCATCATTTCTTATTTAATGATGAGGACTGGGGTGTGTCTTGCCAGTTTTTAAAACAAAGTAAAGATACCCTTAAATAAAATAGAAGACATGTAGGCATAATACAACATTAAACCCATTTGCTTTCCACAGGTCACAGCTTTCAAATGCTAGTACAACTCAAGAAAGAGAACCCTTGCTGCAAGTGGAATAATGAAGACTAATAACTTGATTTTTCGACTGTTTACAGCACTTTTGCAAAGGAAAGTGAAGGCATTGCCCACAGAAACCAGCGAGTTTATTTATTTTTTTAAGTTGAACTTTAGTTTTGCCATCGGTCTTGCACAGTTGTAGAGACTCATCTGCTGTCCTGAAATCATTTGCTCTGCACAGTTTGAGCTTCTCATAGTGTGCATTAGAGGCTGTAACAAGTCAGAGTCCATCTTATTTCCTGGCTGGATGATATTCAGTATCATCCAATTCATTCCTCCCCAGCAGTACTGTCCTTTGCCCCACTCCTTTTATTCATTGGATTTCATTTTTGTCAATCATGGAGGCCCAGTGTCATGTGTGAGCATTACCTAAGGTGGCCTGCATGCAAATACAGCATACCTAGGATTGCCCACCTCTCCATACTGATATCCACCCATCAAGCCATTTTGATATTTGCATAACTCATCCCAGGAGGCAACCCACTGCTTGCATCAGGGCTAAGAGTCCCTGAGAGGAGTACTGGGGCAGGGTGTTATTACATTTTCTGGAAGCTATGTACAGTGTTCTGTAATGTTGTCCTGTTTTATTTGAAAATTTCAAACAAGGGGGAGAGGAATCGGGGAAGGCCAAATATAAGCAGATTAAACTTCAGCTTTAATGTTGTTATGGGTAATGCCTCTATTTTCCTACAGTGTTAGCCATATGAATCCATTTGTTTTATTTTTGCCACATAACATTTCTTTATAGTTATATTAAAGTTTATCTAGTTTTTGTACATGTTTATTAAGCTAGATTCCTTGTTTTTAAACTATAAATTGAAGTGAAAATGTTGGTTTTTAAAATATATGTGTACTGTAGTCTTCCAATCAGTCAGTGATTGTAGAGAACACTTATTTTGGAATGTAACTTAAAATACATTTTGTAACAACTAAAGCTAACATTTTAGATATTGTAGCAATTATAGTAGTAATATGAATAGCTGCTGACATGTTAAATATTTTTATGGGGGCAAGATCTTTACACCATGTATGCCGGGTCTATCAACTGCCCTAGCTGTTAAATGGCAATTTGGGTTCCCCTGCTGCCGATATAATTAATTTAACAATACTAATAATGTAGTAGGCACAGTTATACTTCCACAGCAGGAGGGGAATTGAGACTTGTGATGTGGAGGTAGAGATTAGAACTGGTGGAAAGTTCTTTTTTTTTTGACAGAGCTTTAAATAATATAAAAGGACCAGGATAAAAGACTGATATTCAAGCTGGAAAGCCATTAATGAATAAGGTTTATAATATATATGCTTACATATGTTAATTTGTGTATAAATAAACCATTAAAAGATAGTTTTCTCTTTCACTTTATTTGGACATATGCTGTATTGTGCATACATACCGAACATGTTCTGCATTGACAGAAGGTGTCTACTTCTCTCTGCACTTCTCTTGTCAGGAACAAAGCTTTTCCTAAAATAAACATAGAGGACGTCATGCTTACACTCTTGCTTCACTTCATTTGGGTCGATTTTACTAAATGAACTTTGACTGTTCATGTTGCAAATTGATTTTACCTTAGTGAATGACGTGAAGCTCTGCTGACTTGCATCATCCAATCATGTGTAAGCAAAACCATTGTTTTTTTGTTTTATTTCCCTTGCTTTATGATTGGGTATTCTTCGCCAAGGGTTATTTTTACCACATTCACTAAGCGAAGAGAGAATTTCCATGAAAAGCGCAAATTCCCTTCCAAAGGGAACATTCTATTTACCTGTAGTAAATAAACCCCTTTGAGTCACTGGTACAAGCATGCAAATAAGGATGTCAGACTTGACACAGCCTTTCCTTATATGCATACTTGTTTCAGGTCAGTGACCTAAAGCTTTGTTGAACCTAGTGGGTTATTGCTGTAGCTAGGGAACTAGCATTATTAGACAGAGTTGGCAGTAACAGCCCCTCCATGTGTCAATCAGGAAAGGTTTACTTTAGAGTTCTCAAATTACAGATATCCATACTCTTATTGTTCAACAAAGGCACTGGGATCATTTGTGTCATTCAGCAATCAGGCTTCATTTTTGAATTGCCCTAATCTTCAGTCATGACCTGCTTGTTTATATCATCATTTTCACATTGGTAAAGTTAATCAGCTAAATGTTATCGATTGTCTGGGTGATGTCTATTGTCCTCATGCACACAGAGCTAGAAGCTGCGGCTGAGGATTCATTTAGCAAGAACGTGCGGATTCTGGATACGGAGCGATTACCTGCAGCTCGGAATAGATCATTGCCCCTGAACGCAGCCAGATTGCATCTATCCAAAACCGCAGGTAATTATTCCATGTACAATTACATGCAGACAGCCGAGGATAGATGTGGCCTCTGTCAGCCTGTAATTCACTGGAATGGGCAGAGGGGCTGCATCTGTACAGACTAACTTGGGATTTCTGTCACAAGAATCTGCACCTTCTTGGTACAGGGATCCATAACTGCGGGTTCTAGCTCCATGTGTATGAGGCTTTAGGATCTAGATTATTAAGTGTGCAGCATTATGATAAAGCATTTGACCACCATTGTGTTACAAAGATTCTAGAAAATGTAGAAAATGGCATGTTTGCTGTGGGCCACATGGCACTGATGCAAAGCCCCAGCACATATCTGGGCAGTAAACAATTACAATAGTGAGTTGATCAAAAATTTCACAACTTTTTTACCCCTACAAGTTCCATGTGTCCGTTGCTAACGATCCTTTAGTCTCTTATAATGTGAGGTTGTTGAAGTATGCTAAAATTGTTTCAGTAGTATGAGAACCTCTTTCTATGCACATTTCATGTCACGTTTACTGGTAACCTAGTTGGTTTTGTTTATTTCACTATTCTGGTAATGCAAAAACTGAATGGAAAAAAATTTACTAATGCGACGTTTGAATCATTTTTGTTTTATGACTACCCATTTTTGTAACTGTAACTACAACAACTGTGATATATGTTATTAAATATTACAAAAAGTTTATCAGTTATATAAAACTGTCTGAAACATGTTAAAATTAAACTCCAGGATGAAGCTTGTAAGGCATCCAATCCTGCCTCTCCCCGTGTGCAGATGCAGGCCATATGCATGTTTACATTTAAATACATTACATCAGTAAGCAGAAAACCCCAAGTTTTCATAAATATGATGTAACCAAATGCAGCAGATTTCCTTGCTAACACCAGAGCACAGACAGGAGTGTCCTGTGAGGTGACGCATGTCAGATCCTTTAGATATACCTTACAGAGCTACATGTGCAATGATTCCATGGACATTTAGGAGGTGATTTCACAAAGGAGCCAAAGGATATAGCCGTAGGTTCGGCTAATCCATCGGTTCAGCCAAACCAAATTCATACCAGACCCTTCAGACGGACCCCCAGTAAAAAAAAGAAAGTGCGTGAGGTTCCCCCCAAATGGCCCTTTAGGTCTGGCTGGAATTTTAAGGGGGAACCCCATCACCAAAAAAGTGGGGTCCCCCCTAAAATTCCCAACTAGACCTTTAATCCAGGCAAAGGCATGGCAGGAAAGGGGGGGGGGAACGAGCAAGCTCCCCCCACACACACACCATAGCATGTCACATGCCCTTTGGCATTGGGAGGGTGCTTTACTAGGGGTCCCCCCTGGAAAAAGACCTCGTTCCCATGCAGATGGGGACAAGGGCCTTTTCCCCATAACTTGGACCTGGTGGTTGTGGAGGTCTGTGGGCAGGGGGCTTTTTTGCATCTGGATAACCCTTTTCATAAAGGGGCACCTAGATGCTGCCCCCTTTGTGAATGAGTAAGAGGTACTTGTATGAAGTAATCCAGGGTTAATCACGTTGTCCAGCGATGTCCACGCTGCCGCCGACTCGTCTACATAGAAAAAACCCAGACGCCCGCTGACCCGCCGGCACATGATGAACTCCCGCCGCAAAATGAACAATTTAACAGATGCTGGCTGAATATAAACATCATGGCTGGCTCCGCCTATCTGTTAACATTTGGCCGGCACTTGTCAAATCGCTATTGCAAGGTCCCAGCCAAATGACAACAAATGGGCGGAGTCTGCTGTGATGTCATGGCTGGCCCCGCCCATTTGTTGTCATACAGTGACGGACCACTGTTCCCTCTTAATGAAAGGGGGTACCCAGATACGAATAAACCCCCAGGTCAGGGTTGTGGCGAAGAGGCCCTTGTCCCCATCCCAATGCATGAGGGCAAGTGGCCTGGTATGGCAGGGAGGGGGGGCGCTTTTTTCTTCTTTTAACTCTCGGGCGGTTCCTCCTAACTTTCCTACCTGGTATGGTTTAGGAGGGGGACCCCATGCTTTTTTTTCCTTTCTGTTCACATTTTTTTGTATTCTGCTCACTACCTCTGAGGTAGCAAACAGAATAACCTAGACAAATGCAGCTCAGCGGCATTCGGCTATTCACTCACTGCTGTTCAGCCCCTATGAGAATAGGGGTGAACAGTAGTGAATGAACTGCTGGACGTTCGGCTCAGCCGATCCAGAGTCGAACGTGTTCTTCACTTCGGCTAAACCGAACATGATGAGCGTGTTCAGCTAAACCGAAGGGAGCCAAAGCTGGACGATGTACAGCTGAAATCAGCCTTACTTGGCAGAATTGAGTAGCCGAACGGGGTTCGCTTCACTTTACTTCGGCACGGTTATTCACCCAGCTGCTTTCAGCTGCTTTCAGCTTTCAGCAGCTGAGTGAATAACCCCCATAGTGATAATATAGTGATACAATAGCACTTGCTCATTTAAATAATAATTTAATTTCAAATTTCTGACAAAGGCCGACATTGTTTTTACATTGGAATGAAGAAAAAACATAATGGCTACACAACTTGTGTTTTTTTTTAATGGAGCCAAAATAGAGAAAGGGGGTTAATCAGAGACATACATGTTTTTGTCAAATTTACGTGGTGGAAGAGGATTTTCCGTCTCTTGCTGATCATTTAGAACTCTCTGAAAGGGCCTAATTCAATATAGATGCT